GACAATATCAAATATATAGATAAAGATGATACAGATAAATATGCAGATTACATATTTGAAGACATATTGCCTGACTATTATTTTAACCCATAATTCTTAATTGAAATATAATTATAACATGTAAAATCTTATATGTTATAATTATACTATACTTATCGTTTGTTTCTGAATTTTCTTAATGCCTTAAAAATGACTTAAAGAAATAGTGCCTTAATATAATAAGAGGAAAATGAACGGTGATGAAATCATTAATTATATCAATAAGAAATGCTATGATTGTTGTCACTTCAAAAAAGAAAATATGGAATTGTATAAATTGAATTTACCTAATGAAATAGTGAATAATATTATTAACTATTCAATGGATGAAGAAGACGAATGTGAAAATTGTATAAATTGGAGAGATAATCAAACTTTAATCAATTGTGTGTTGAGAATAAAAAGAAGACATAATAGAAATGTAGAAGATGAGATTTTAATATTTCTACCTGTGTATGAAATACCACCTTATAGTTATGATAGAGCATTTCTGAAAATCAGTGAGAAAAAGTATGAAATGATAGACCGCATATTATGGATGTTGGGTTATCGTCAAAAGAAAGGAGAAGATGTTAAAGAAAATATCAAATTATATATTGAAAGTAGAAGGTTTAATGTTCAAAATACAGTGAGAGATATTAATATTATTTTTAAAATGATGTATGAAAGAAGTAAGAAGAATCAATTAAATTATTATCCTGAACTGAAATTATAATCATAATATAATAATAACATGTAAAATTTTATGTTATAATTATACTATACTTATGGTTTGTTTCTTAATTTTTCTTAGTGCCTTAAAAATGACTTAAAGAAATAGTGCCTTAATATAATAAGAGGAAAATGAACGGTGATAAAATCAATAATTATATCAATAAAACATGCTATGATTGTTGTCACTTCAAAAAAGAAAATATGGAATTGTATAAATTAAATTTACCTAATGAAATAGTGAATAATATTATTAACTATTCAATGGCTGAAGAAGACGAATGTGAAAATTGTAAAAAATGGCGAGATAATCAAACTTTAATCAAATGTGTGTTGGGAATAAAAAGAACACATAATAGAAATGTAGAAGATTATATTTTAATATGTCTAGCTGTAAATAAAATACCACCTTACGATTATGTTAAACAGTTTCTTAAAATAAGTAAGAAAAACTATGAAATGATTGATATATTATGGATGTTGGGTTATCGTCAAAAGAAAGGAGAAGATGTTAAAGAAAATATCAAATTATTTTTTGAAAGTAAAAAGTTTAATGTTCAAAATACAGTGAGAGATATTAATATTATTTTTAAAATGATGTATGAAAGAAGTAAGAAGAATCAATTAAATTATTATCCTGAACTGAAATTATAATCATAATATAATGATAACATGTAAAATCTTATATGTTATAATTATACTAGACTTATGATTTGTAAAGATTGAACTATTTATATTTTCCTTGATTTGCTTGTCTCTTTCAAAGTGCGTTGTTTGAACTTGGCATGCTCTTTTGATTTTTTCGTGCTTTGGTTGTTTTGAATTTATGTTGTTTGATACTCTTCTGATATGTTTTTGTTGTTATACTGTTTTGAAATTTGTTAGTGTGTGTTTTTGAGTTTGTGTTCTTTGATGGTTTTTAGTTTTGCTTTTTTGTTGGTATGCTTGTTTGAATTATTTAATGTTGTATGCTGTGATTAAATATTTTGTTGGGGGTTGTTCTGGTTTTTGAGTTGCTTGGTGGTTATTATCTTGTTTTCTGTGAATTTTGCTGATTTGTGTTTATGCTGTTTGATTATTTGGGTTTGATTTTAGAAATGCCGTTTTATGTATTTTCCCCCCTCCCCCCAAACCCTACGTAATTGACGTGTCCCGGGGGGGGGTTAGGGGGGGGGGTTATCCTCTATCCTCTCTTAGGTATCCGACACGCCGAACAATGTCGGCGGATTTTCTGCGCTTAATGAATGTTCAACACACGGTTTCCACTGGAAAGCTTGTGTATATATTTGAACCTGATGGAAAGAATGAAGCACTCCTTTGGCCATTCACATAACCTGCTGTTTTTTGAAAGCTTAAATGATAAGTTGTCAATGAGTATCTTGTGGACTGAAAGCTTCCATTACTTTAAATATTTAACATAGAATTTAACATTAAGTTTATGAGTTGGTAAATAACATATTTATCAATTTATTATAGATATGTCCGAAATGATTATAACAAATTGGTAAGGTTAAAAGTTTATTACTTTAGGGCTTTTTAACCTAGGGTTAACCATCCCTAATAAAGTAGTTTAGTATAATATTTTTGTTTAGTTTTCTATTTTAAGTACTTTAACCTTTTTTTCTTAAACTTGTCTTCGGCAGAGTTATTCCCTTTTTTCTTCATCACTATTTCTCCAATTTCTTCATATGAACTTTTCTTTTCTTTCCATTCTTAATCATTTCTTCTGATGTCTCATTGTCATATTCCTTTTTGTGAATCATATACATTAATTCACATAATTGTTCTTACTGGGTAAATGCTTGCTTCTTCATACCCGTGATTAGTGAACATTTTGGCTGAACATGTTTAGGTTGTTAGTACTCCTCTGTCTAAAACATTGACAGGGTCAATCATACTTCTAAAACTAGTTTAGTTATCATTTATTTTTGGTTTTATGGACATAAATGGTGCTCCGTCTTTTGTTGCTTTTAGATTCTTATCTGGGTAGCCTTGAGCGAATTGAGCACAGACAGAACCACCAAGAGAATGACCAATGACCTCTGTGATTTCCTTTTTATCTTCTAATATTTTGGAAGTTGCTTTATGTCTATCACACTGTCTTGTTAAATGAAACGGAATGCCTAAGTCATTGATTATATCATTGAAAGAACTCAATATGACAGAATATTTTTTCATAATCTTAGCAGCTGGTGGGGTTATAGAAAAAACAGTTATTACATGAAACATGTTAGTAGCGAGTTAATTGAAATTTATAAAGGCTTACCAACAGAAGGAGATGAACTTGTTTGTTGTGAAGAAGGATTATCCACATATTCTAATTGTATTGCTGGTGAAGTTGAATATGGAACAAATAGTTTTAATTTCGATTATAATATGTTTAAAACATGTATTCTCTGATATGTTACATTTTTCTTTTTAAAACCCACTTAAAGAAATATGACCTTAGCATATTAAGTGAAATGAATCCAACTATAGCAAGTGTGAATGCCGGAACAAAAAGAAAAGTGTTACTTTAACATTGTACAACCTATTTCAGGCTAACCTGTGTAAAACAAAAGTAAGTGAATATAATGTATATTGTCATCAGTGTAGTATAAATAGAGACCTTGAAGTCTCCTTTATTAAAGAAAATTAAGGATAAAGGATTTATAAATTTTCAATCGTAGTTAAAATTCTTCATGACATGTCAAAAAGATTTCTTGCACATGTCCAATGTTTATCATAAAGTTTCAAGAAGGTCATTTGAAAAAGAACTGATGACTTCTTTAGTGATGAAGATTTAATCAGGAGGCTTGGAGGTGAAGCAAGCATTAAGCCTTTTAAATCATTTGTTAAAAAACACCGTCATTTGTTTGAATTTGTTGACTGGCATGTATTAAGCAATTATAAAGTAAAAGAAGTATGAAATGAGCTTGGAGCAAATAAATATTGTAACAGCACTAAATGTTTAACCTATGTCAACTAATCCATGTGTTCTTCTGGGAATATATTTTTTCAATAATAGGAGAAGAAAATAGTAAATATATTGACGAAGATGATATCGGTAGGTATGTTGATTACATATTTGAAGACTTTTACCCGACCACTATTTCAATCCATAATGTATAATCAAAATATAGTTGTAACATCTAATAACCTTTTATGTTACAGTTATAGTATACTTATCCTTCATAAAGATTGCATTGTTTTATTTAAATGCATTTTCCTTAACTTGCTTGTCGTATGCTCTGTTGATTTTTTGTGTTTTGGTTCATTGTATTTTAGTTTGTATGATGCTGTTTTGTCTTATTTTGTTGGCATGTTGTCTTGAAATTGTCGGGGGTGTGTTTTTGAATTGGGGGTCTTATTTGTTTTTTGCTGAATGTGTTTTTGTTGGAATGCGTGAGTGATTTATTGTTGTTGTCATGCTGTGATGTTATGTGTTTTGCTGTGGTTGCTATGGTTTATTTTGTTGGTTGGTGGTTCTTATTTGAGTTTCTGTGGTTTGAATGTGGTTGTTTTTATGCAGTTCTGTTTTTATGATTTACTGCTAGAATTGCCCTTTCTATTATTCCCCCCGTTTTTTTCAGCATTAATTCGCAGAGTGGGTTTGATCTCAAAGAATGTCAAGCCTCTTGTTTCAAACCTGTTAAGAGACTTGTGCCACGCCTTCCAAGCGCTTCTTCCCATGAACGGCAGTCTTAGCAACGTGCCTTGCGCCAGCAAACTTTTCCGACGGTGCCTCCTAGAGCTGTTCCCTTTCCCTGGCTCTGACTCATCTCAGCATGCATTCTTGTCAAGTTTTTGTTTTAGCTTCTTCGTCCCTTTGCCGCACACTCGACTCTTTGTTCCTTAGAAACCTTGGCCCTGCCTTCACCCTTCGGTCTCAAGTCTCCACCCGGCTTAGGTGAAGCAGGGAGCCACAGAGCCCACCGAGACAGCTCCAACCGGCCAGGACGACGAGGCAGATCCAAACTGGTGAGGGGGTTGCTGGGTGCGTTAGCCACAATCCTGACTCACGTCAGGTCAATGAATGGGGATTTCCAGTGCAGAAGGCAAAGACTTGCACGTTCTATGCTGGAGAAGCGTGGTGCAGCAGGGGTACGAAGTGCCCATACAATCACCCAAGAGAACCTCACGACAGGGATGATGAGTTTGAGGAGGGGACCTTGGCAGAGGAGAAGACGGATGACCTGAGAGAGCCGATCAAGTTTGTCTTCATCGATCTCGCAAAAAAGAAGCATGATATTCCATTCTTCTTTTGGCCTATGAATTACTCCATTCCAAAAAGTGGTCAAAAGGTTTATTGGAACAAGAAGAGCAAGCGCGTCAAGGTGAAGGCCCCAGAGTGCGTATTTGAGCGAGAGGCCATTCTTGCAAACGTCAAGTTCAATGAGCAGGAGAAGAGGCGGCCTTTGCTCTCGCGCTTTATCCTGTACCCAAAGGAATTGAACTTCTTTAGCTGTTTGCTGGCTGGTGCGAAATTTTTCAAGCATCTGTTGCCCTTGGTTCTGCATAGTCGAATGCGGTGTGTCCATACCCCAAGAATACACACACCGCAGTTAACCACAGCTGATTCAAAACCTGAACGGTTCAGCTCGCTAATTGTCGCCAGTTGTTGTGAGTCCCATCGTCAGGCTTGATGAAGGGGAGGTGCGCATCAAGCTCGACCAGGGGAAAGAAACCCAGGTTCACCCGGCAGCGGTCTTCAACAAGGTGCCTCGAGCACTTCGTGAAGAGTATTGTCGCTCAAATATCCCGTTGCGCGCTAGTCTGCGATTCATTTTGCGCGATGAACGAGTCTACTTATCCGCCTGGCTGAGAAATCCTCATGCCGAGCATCTGGCACACTCTGGTGAGCCGGATGATGAGTATGTCCAGGAGATTGACAAGGAGCTTTCCAAGGTGGATGGTCAAGAGGACAGCTTGGCGCAGAAGCCCTTCAAAGCCTTGGAGAAAATTCTGGACGAACTAGATGATGTTGAGAGGCAGCTGCGGTCACTTCGGCATGACGAGCACTTAGCCATTGCTGGATTGCAGCCAAGGAGCACCGGAGCTTTGGAAGACTTCTGTCGCAGTGTCATTCTAAATGTTTTTACGCGGCTGGTGTACAAGATTCAGCAACCTGTCAAGATTCTGGAGCAGGGACGCGAAGACGAGGCAGGCAAGAGGACCCGAGAGTGGATGCAAGAGGTTCTCGCCAGAGGAAACTATGTGTGGGATTTGGAGACTAAGCGCAAGACCGCAGGGGACAAGTTGAACTGCAGCAACAAAAAACTGCAGGAAGCACAACAGGCTTTGGCGCATAAGGAAAAGCATTTGGAGGGTTTGGACGCTCAGGCTTCAGAAGCCGAGAAAGTCAGTCAGAAAGTGCAAGAGACAAAGCAGAAAATGCACAAGGCGCAGCAAGAAGTGCAAGAGGCAGAGGAAGCTTTGGAAGAGGCGAAGGACGTGGGCAGGCGCGTACTGGAAAAGATGCGGGCCGAGAGTCAAGGAATGGAATGCCCATTCTGCAAAAGGCGTTTCGATCCCTCAGCCATTGATCGTTGTCCTGAAGTCGGAGACATACATCCTCAAGACGAGGAGAACATGTTGAGGTGGATCCTTGCGCAATGCCTTTGCACCTTGCCGGTGAAGTGGTGTTGTTCTTCCCTGAGTCTTTCACTGCTCAGTCAACAAAACACCTGCAACACAGAGTGGTTTGGTTGTGTTGCACATGCAAAAGAGTGTCAGCTCGCTGCATCATGGCGAAACTTCCTGGAGGTGTTTTATTGGTCCAACATGTCAATGTGTTCAACTTGTTGGTCAGATTGCATGAGTCTGGTTTGAAGATTCAAACAGATTCTCTCAAGATACTGAGTTTTGGAGAATAGTGAGTCAATTAGTTCTGTCGCAAGTGCCGAGAGCCAAGGTTTGATGTTTCTGTCTCATGGTTTTTGATTGGGCGAGGCGGTTGTGATCCCATAGCCTGGCCATTGACTTGGGCTGATTTGTGAGCTGAGGCCGCAGCTGCAGCGAACCAGGGACCCCCGTGAAGCCTACGATTGAGAGCTGGCTGGAAGGAGTCAACAAGGTGTTGCGGGATGTTGGAGCCATCCATGAGGAAGATCTTTCCTCATTGCTGGATACATCCATCCTGGAACTCCGCGACGGGGAGACCAGCTTGCGACTGCAGAGCCCCAGGATAGAAGGCGTCAAAGCCCTGCTCCGCTTGAAGTACGGAGTTCGGTGCAGCTCAACCCATGGCTTCGCTGAGCCAACCTTGAAGGATCAATTGTCCAACTTCCCGACAGAAGTGGATCTCGCTGCTCGTTTGCTTGGCGTGAAGCCAGAGAATCAGAAGTCAGAGGTGAGCGGCTTCCTGGGGTCTTGGGACTTGTATTGGCTGGAGAGTGGGACCAAGGAGTCTATGGAGGATGACTTTGATTTCAGAGATGCCGGGACCGCGAACCTCAAGAAAGTTGATGTGAGGGTCCGCACGAATGCATATGTCATCGAAGACGACGGTGGTCGAGTCAAGGTGAGACGGTCAGGAGAAATGTCCTGGTGGCCAGCAGTTACTTCGCCATGCAGCGTGTCAGATGGAGGCTCTACATTGAAGTTCAACGTGCACTTTTGCTCGCGGGCCACGTTGAGAGCGAGGCCTCTGCAACCTCACAAGTGGTGCCGCGTGGAGCTGCGACTGAAATCATCCCAGGGATATGACTATTTAGACGGTATGGAGCACACCCGCTGGGATGCAGAGATTGCTTGGTCGCGGCGTGAGATGCATTTCAGCTGTGGAGATCGGGGGAGGTCTCGAAGGATTCAGTTTCACAGAGCCAGGACCCTGCCAGATGCCCCAGAAGGAGACGAGGGCAGACACACAGCAGCCAAAGTCTTGGCAAAGCAATCGCGCGACTTGTACCAGCGCATTGAACATGTTGAGAGGAGCGCCACTATCAACAAGTGCAATGTCATCGCTGATTTGAGTGTCACCCGCACAACTGCACGCCTCTGGGCAGACGCTTTAGCCGACATTGTCAAGAGAAACTTCGGGATTGCCATCGCACCGAGACGTTCCGAAGAGGCAGGGAATGAGAAACAACAAATTTCCTCACTTGCGTCTACTTTCAACTTCAAAAAACACTTCGCATCCATCGCATCTAGATTGCTGCCACGAATTTCATTCGACAAGTGGCAAAGGCGCCTGCCTGGCAGCCTTTCAAGTCTTGGGCCATTGGGGGCCAGGATTGGACCTGGAAGGGCGTAGGCCATGCGAGCACAGAAGCCACACGGTTGAAATTCCCAAAGCGAATTGGAAAGAACGTTTTGCGGCGCCAACAACAGTAGATCCTCTCAACTTTCAATGTCTGCGCAACAGAGGCCAATCCAGATGCTGCAGCTGAACCAGATGCCGCATAATGGCCGACACCGCTCCCTGGCCTTTGTTGTAGCTGGCTTCAATTGGTAGAGCAGTTGTTCAACATTTTGTCAACATGCTGGCTGCAGCGGTCAGATGTTGTGAGGAACTTGGTCTTGGGCAAGTGGACGGTGAAGCTTCTTTCCAGCCTGGTTGCAACTGCATCTTGGCCAATGCGGAATATTCGGATATTCCTGGCGTTGAGTGTCACTTGTTCCGCATTTGCAAGTGCATGTACATTGGGCTTCAAAGGACAGGTTTTGTGACTTCCAAAAGAGCTCATTATGCAGGGAGCAGGATGGTGCGTTGCTTGAATTCAAGCTTTGTGAGTCTGTGTGTCTTGCCTTTGTGCTTGAATCCAGCCTGCCCTGCCATGCTTTCCAAAGCCGCACTTTGACCTTGTGTAGCCCTGTACGTTTGGCATTGCTGCTGCACTGCAAGTGAAAAGTTTGCGAATCGGACGCGAGGGTTGCAGCCTTGACGTTGATTGGATCTTGGCCTTGCTATTGTGCATGGCTTCCTGTGAATTTGATGGCCCGAGACTTTGAGTTCTCTAACAGGAGCGAAGTTCTTCAACGCGACGCCTTCACATGACCATAAAGATTTAAGCAGCATGCATTCATCCTGAAGGCTTGGCGAAGCCAACTCTGGAAGTAAAACCTTACAAGCATGATGGTCAATGACGGAGCTTGTAGGACAAGGCCAAGGTGGGTAAGCTCTTGCAAACAGAAAGCATGTCCCTCACATCTCCCTGCCTTCATGTAGTGACTCAGAAATGCATTGAGCCCTCAGGGAAACGCGGCAACTCGACTATCGCCCCCGGAGCAGGCAGTCACTAGACGCAACCAAGGCTCAAGTTGCTTAAGGCTCTGACAAATCAACATTCTCGCGACACGTCGCCCTGCTTGCAAGATGCGGCAGAAGACACACCCAGCATGGACGTGCGCTTCAAGTTCATGGAGAGCGTGGTTGAGGGCGTTGCTGCTTCAGGATGGTGAAGTACATTCACTTGGGAAGCCTGAAGCATTTCGGGCACTTCCAGGGCTCAGAGTCCATTCACGACTTGCCACTTGCTTCTTGATTGGCGCCAGGTCTATGCCGTGTGGTGCCATTGCGACTTTTGGCTCCGAAGGAGTGGTGCAAGAACTTGAGAGCCTGTGGCACGCTGTGAAGGGCAAGGACGTTCCAGATCTGCGAAAGCTTGCGGAGGGGTCGCGGGAGATGCAGGCGTTTTGCCAAAGGGTCTCCACGTTCACGGCAGCGGGCAGAGAAAGGGCATGCAACCAGCCAAGTGCAACACGCGGAGTGAGCCAGTATGCCTGGATAGTGCATTCGGCCTTTGTGTGGTTGAATCTTCGCATCGACACGGTGGAGCGTGCTGAGAAGCTTCTGGTTGCGTGTGATGTTTCTGACACAGTGAATCTTAAGCTTGGGTGGTGGACGGGGGGAGGGTTTTGCACATCCCGTGGACTCTGCTCCATGTCCTCGAGATCAGCCAGGAGACGTCGGGACCAGCCCATGCCGCAGATGGCAACTCCAACGCAATGTGGCCACCGCCAGAGCACGGCCTGGAGCTTTCCAAAATGGTCTACGACGTTGTTGGAGGATCCCTGAGAAGTACACTGTTTGCATGGTTTTGGCGACAACTCTTGCCGCTTCTTGAGGTGACATCGTGGGATGTGGTCAATCATCGTGGGAGGTGCCATGCAGGTGCACCCGACTTGGGGTCAACGAGCTTGGTGGTGGCCTCATCCCAAGCTTCGCGGAGTGGTGCCGTTGGTGCGGGGGCAGGGCCTCCAAGACATGTTGCTCATCGACTGCACATTGCTGGGCTCCATTGCTCATCGCTGTGAAGGAGTTTGCTGGACCGGGCACCTGTCGGAATGAGTTCTTCCTCTCTGCGGAGGAGCTACTCTCAAGCTGGCCCGAAATCCTCATCAGTTTTGAGAAGTATGCAGGGAGGATGATCGCATCAGGGAGCTGCTGAATGCGCCTGACCATGCCAGCGAATTGATGCTGCACTGATTTGCTTGAACTGACATCTTGGAGGAGATCGACGAGATTGGGGTGTTTAAGCAGGTGGCGCAATATCTCCGGGCTGCAAGCAGCTGGGGGTCAGTCTTTCAACGCTGGAGGGCAGGAAGTTCTTAGTCAAGGAGTGCAGACAGCATTTGGCGGACCATGTGACGGAGTCAATAGTTCTTGTGGAGTGGGATGAGGCAGATGGCTTCAAGGAATTGAATTCGGAACGAAAAGACAGTAAGTGATGGTCAAGTGCAAATCTCAGACCACCCCCGCAAGCTGTGTTCAGAACAGCAAGCCAACTGTCACTCCGGAATGGACTTTAGGGCAGACTCTGCAGATCCGCCCGCGAATCATCAGCAACACACTTGATCAGAAACACATTCCTGGATATTCCTGAGACCGTCAGCATAGATACGGGTTGAGGTGCGTAAAGCGCAGGAATACCGGGCCGCGGTCAGGATAGCTTTGCCCACTATGTACATGGAACAACTCACTGGCGACCCCCTTCAGCACAAGCCCAATGCAGAGGGCGGGGCAGACGAAGGGTTTGTTTCACAATGAGTCTGTGGGTCAATGCCTGTGAAAGACCCTGCAGCGCACTGATTTTTTCAATGCCACGGCTTTTCCGCTCCGAAGCATCAGACTCCCCTTTCTGCTGTAGAGTTTCTTATGTATCTTGGAGTCGGTTCTCAGTTATAACGTCTACAGCTTTGACCTCCAACCGCAGAATGGCAGATGGCCCGCCCAAAACTGTGGAGCTGCTCCCTCTGTACGGTGGCCTACATATGCGGCTGTGGGATAGCTGCTTTCATGAACCTTGCGTGATGGATTCGCGTTTTGAGAGTCACCACAGAGGTGCTCAGCGCTTTAGCGCGGGCAGATGACTTGCAAAGGGAGGTTGCTCCACTCAGATTTTTGGACACTCAGATTGCCCACTTCCTGCGGAGCACCAAGGCGGGAGCGCTGCAAGGCGCCAAGCACGCAGAGGAACGTGCGCAACGCTGGTTGCCAGCGTTTGCCACAGTTCTTCCAACCCGATTCTGGAAGCTGGGCATCTTCAGCCAGTGGGCGTTGAGACGGGCTCACTTTGGCAAGCGCTGACAGTGAGATTGATAGCTGCTGAGTCAGTGAAGTCAGGTCTTTGGTGCAGTGAGCCAGCGAGCCGGGATTTTCTACAGCCCGGAGAATATTTTTTCGGGCCGCAGTCTGCCCGAAGCACATGAATGCTTCGCGTGGTCGTGGCGAACATTCGCCATTTGGAGAAAAGCTGTTGGCAGGAGTAGTCGGTCGCACCCTGGCTGTCAACCATACCAAACCAACCAGAAGACTGGCCTCTGAGAATGCGCGTTTTAGGAAAATGCCACAGGCCGTCAGCCCATGCCAAGCTGTCCCTCCAATGCCCGCTGGCCAGCAGATCTCATAATGACATTGTATTGGATGACTTGAGGCTGCGAACCTTTTTCCATCAATGGCAGCCGTAAGAGTGAAGGGACAAGAAAATTGGCCGGCGTATGGGGTCCGTTGGCTCGGTTGCCCTTGCAGCCTGTGCCCTGCCGATTTCGGAAATTGTGCAACATGGCGTTTCCCAAGCTTGGGCATTTCCTGTTGGTTATAGCTTGCAAACTGCATGGTGTTTGTGCTGCTTGCGCTGTCCTTTGCAGAAAGTATCATTGCGCGGCATCTTTGTCGGCTTCAGCATAGGACAGCATAGGCTCATGCAAATCGGCAGAGATCATTGAATACTCTGTGATTGTGCCATGTTCAAGATTTCCCGCAAGTTCTTGCCCCTTTTGACACTTATGGCCTCATGAGTTGCAACATGGATGGAAGCACCTCACGGCGCCCTAAGGCCGGGTGAAAGCCTGAGCGTCAAAGTTCACCGTGGCGCGCATTGCGTTGGGGTCTTTTGTGGCCTTACTTTGCCTGCCAGCGACAAGCACGCAGCACAGGGAGGTTTCTTGGCGTAGACTTTGAAGCAATGCCAGGCCCTTAAACAAAGATTTTGGCAGCATGTTGAAAAGCTCGCCTGAAAGATTTTGCCAGACAAAATGCAAGCGGCCTTGCGTACCATTGCGTGAACCGCGCTCCCGGAACCGAAGCATTCTGAGCAGCCAGTCTTGCTGGCAGATGCAGGTTGAAGTAGATTGCAGGTTTCGGCCCGTGCATTTGCTTCAGGAATGCCCCAGCTAATCCTGCTTGGCGGCTTTGGAGCTGCAGGATAAAGCATGCATATGCAAGGGTAGGATGATTTTGCGACTGGAAGGCATCTTGTGGGAGCGCAGCTGGCCCATATCACCACGGAGTGGTGATTCCTCTAAGCAGATTTTTGTTCCCACGGGAGCTGTTGCATCTCAGCAATTCCTTCCTGCATGCAAACTGCAGGGCCAGGTGAGTCCCCGCCGCCTGAAGTCAGCTGGAGTTGCGCCCGTGGACTGAGGCCTTTGCAACGGGAGGTTGTGGGACAAACGGAGAAAACGTTGCAAGTCATACCGGCAAGAGCAAAGTGTTGGAAGATGTGTCAGCGCCACCGTCTAAACAACAACCAGCAGGGAGCCGTTGTTTTCAGCGTCTTCACCCAAGGCACTCGGGTGTTTGTAGACAAGGTCAACACCAAATTGGATTATCTCGAACGAACCCACTTCACGAGGCGCACCAACGCAACCATCGTCAGCATCATCCGGCACATTCTGGAACCCAATACAGGCTCGGGCTACGACCGAGCATTTCCAGACAGCATCCTGACTCACGCCTTTCACTCGGCACGAGCATACCCTCAGCACATGCACCGACTGAGCGAGTTCGACATTCTCGACTACGGTGAGCAGGAAGAATTCCGGAAGAATTCAACCCAAGCACTTGCCGATTACACAGTCATATGCGCCGAGCGATTCAAATACATCACGAACGAGATTCTGATATTTGGCCGAAGTGACAGCGACTAGAGGACGATTGGCCCGAAAGCATTGTTTTTCTCATGCAGCTCTTTCTGTGTAAGCTTCTCTGCGCAAATTGCTTTGTCGAACCGTCTGTGCAAGATGTTCTGCGCGGGTTTCTCCACGCAAGTGCTTTGCGCAAGTTACTCGCGCAAGTTGCCCGCGCAAGTCCCCTGTGCAAGTTGCTCTGCGCAAGTTGGTCTACGCAAGCGCCCCCGCGCAAGTGCTCTGCGCAAATTATTCTGCAGAAGTCTTCGAATTTCTGCTTGCAAGTTGCTCTGCGCAAGTTGCTCTGTGCAAATTGCTCTGCGCAAGTGCTTTGCGCAAGTGCTCTACGCAAGTGCTTCGCGCAAGTGCTCTGCGCAAGTTGCTCTGCGCAAGTTGCTCTATACAAGTGCTTTGTGCAAGTGCTCTGCGCAAGTAGCTCTGTGCAAGTTGC